ATTTACCAAGTTTCATTGAAATGTGATGATTAGTACTTGAGATATCTGTGGAAAAGCTGAAAATTAACTAATTATGCAAATTAGGTAACTAATATGCACAAATATTTATCCCAAAACAATCAATCTCTGCATAGTCCTTGAGTATCTATGTACCAAGTTTTATTGAAATGTAATGCTTACTACTTGAAACATCAAAAGCTGAAAATTAATTAATTATGCAAATTAGGTGATTAATATGCACTGACATTACCCTAAAAACTATCAGGTCTGTGCAGTGTCCTATGACAGAGTTCAGAGCATCAATGTACCAATTTTCATCAAAATCCAATAAGTGTTTTTTTTAGATATCAATGGAACAATCATGGAACAGCTAACAATTAGCTTATTATCATGCAAATTAGGTAATTAATATGCATGAAATTTTACCAAAACCAAATCTGCGCATTAGCCCAGAGCATCTTTGCATCAAGTTTCATCAAAAACTGATGTATGGTTCTTGAGATATCAGTGGAACAGACGAACACACATACACACACACACATACATACACACACACTAACCGCAAAGACTCCCATTTTGTGCTTCGCACATGGGAGTCAAAAATTAGAACATTCAAGGTACTATCACAAAATGAACAAATTCTGAGTGAGAACCATCCAAGGTACATTTTTAGTGTGAATGACACCTATGCATTTGACGGTTTTTAAGAAAAATTCCAAAATGTTGAAGTTAACGACGAATGTCAACAATGGGCAATGACTAATATGAATGGCTATGCTCTGTCGACAATGAAACTAAAAAACTTAGAAATAACTCCTGGGAGTGTTTGAGCCATGGAGTACAAATAAGCAATACCGTATCTACTATATTATACACAATATTGAAATATGTCTTATTTTGACCACAGACTCACCTCTGTCATATACACATGTGCTTCTAATGGAGCAAATATGGCATTTGAAAAATATAACTGAGCGCACAGATCTGAGTGGTTCTCAGTGGCTATGATATAAATAAATATATGATGGATAGAAATATCTTGTCCTACAACCTCATTCATTACTGGTGCATGTCCATTTCTGCACCATTGCTTTAGATATTACAGTTATGCTTATCTCCAATAGTTTTCTAAATGTTAAAATTATGCAAAATAATAAGATCACATGACCAAATATCTCTCATTCAATGCCTTCAATATTGCACTAGTTGCATTGTCCAACTTGCAACAATGCTTGATATAATAGTTATGCATATTAATGAGGTCATCTGACCCAATTTGTGCAAATTATGTAATGAATATGCATGGGGATTTCAACCCTAAAACGTATCCAGGTCTGCGGATTTCCAACGTACCAAGTTTTATTGAATGTTTGTTGAGATATCTGAAAATAGGCCTATTACTATGCAAATTAGGTACTCAGTCTGCACATATTTCAATCCAAAACTAATAAGATCTGGGCATTGCAATTTATGTAATGAATATGCATGAATTTCAACCCAAAATTAACCAGGTCCTTGGATTATCCAATATACCAAGTTTTTTTTAATGTTTGTAGAGATATCTGAAAATAGGCCTATTATTATGCAAATTATGTAATCAGTATGCACATATTTCAACCCAAAACTAATAAATCTGGGCATTGCTCGAAAGTCTCTTTCATTGGGTGTAATTTATGGTCCTCAAAGGAAGGTATATGTTGGATTAAAACATAACCCCATATAGGGTTACAATTAAATAAAATATAAGTAGAGACATCATACAAATTGTAACTAAACATAGAAATGTTTGTGAAGTTTGGGGTTAGTAAAAGGAGTACGGTACAGTTAAATTTAATAAATGTTATACAAGTTATTGTTAATGACACAGTCTCTGTTCGCAATTGGGGGTGATGCTATAAAAGAAACACAGCAAAAAAGCAAGATGGCTGCAAGTTTGTTGTCTTTTATCTGATAACCAATTGAATTATGTACATGTATTGTCACATGTATAATATAAAAAATCAAATTGGATATGCTAATCACGGTTTATGTGACCAGGTGAATATGAGTAAATATAATAATAGACTAATTTAGTATCAATAAAAAACAGTTTTAATAAATAATATCTAAATTTGCAATCGAATAAACAGAGTCACAAACTTTATACATTTATTTGCTATTTCACATATTTAGACAAATTTTGTATCCAAACTAAAGTAAAGTGCATTGTAAGTGTATGCCAGCTTTACTGTTATGGTGTTATCCAATGACGCTTTTTCTAGCAATGATTTCATGACGAGAATTAAGGCAGTTAACAATTTAATGAGATTGAAGCATACATGTGAATCAAATATGAACATATAGCAAGTGTCTAACCTACTATAAAGTACTTTATTTTCACCATTTTTGCTGAAGGGGAGAATCAGTGAAAAAAAATCCAGTGAAATTCAGCTTGTTTTTCTATGTTTTGCATTCAACTCATCAAAATTTAATGAAAATTAAATGTCACACAAAACAGCCTGATGTCTTTTCTTAAACTTAAGTTTATGCATGTCTGTATGCATGTCATTAATATCTTCAAAAAACAATTTCCAGCTTTTCCACTGATATCTTGAGAACCAGTCATCATATTTATACTTTAAACATAACTGCGCTGGGACACTATACAGGACTGTTTGGATTTTGTTTGAAATCTCTATATATTAATTGTCTAATTTGCATAAATTTTTAGCTTCCATTCGATTTCAATGATACTTGTTACAGATACATAGGTGCTCTGGAGGTAATCCAAAGGAGTTTAGGATTCAAACCATGCATTATTATTACTTGCTTTTAATATTTAAATAAATGAGCTAATTTTTAGTTGTTTCTCAGATCTCAAGTACCCCTAAGTCCAATTTTAATGAAACTTGGTAAACAGATTCTCCTTGGTAATCTGCAGAAGTAATTAGTTAAAGGTTAAAAAAAATGCATACTGATTACCTGATTTGATTATTACCTGTATTTCTATGGGCTCTGTGCAAGCTGCTGTGAAACACCAGCCGAGGAGCCGGTGAAAACAGCACAAACTCCTGAACAAACTGATATATGTTGCACATGTAGGGGTCTTGTGACACTGTTCAGTAGAGTCTCAAAAACAAGCCCGAAGTACGGTTTTCTGTTGTTGTTTTCAAAAGTACCGGTTGCCAGGCGATGAAAATACTTTGATGTCCACCCAGTGAATACTCCAAACTTGAATCAACTTCACAACAAATGATTTTAACAGAATTGCAGCAATTTATTCTGTATGCATATTTCATACACATCTACAACTATATATACATCATCCTAAAGTCTTTACAAATGTTAAAAAGTCAGAAGAAACATAAGCATACACATATCCTTGACATAGATAAATGCTAGAATGCATAAATACCATCTTAATCGATGAACAGTTGTATGCTACTAGCATTAAAGCAGTAATTTTTAATGATCCAGTATTTACAAAATAAAATAAAAAAAAAAGATGAACCCATAAAGTATCAATTGCATCCTGTTTTAAATGTTTCAGAAAATTAATATTAAGTTACATACTGTGAAATACTTTATTTTAGCTGGAATTAATTTTCGCTGGGTGTTTTGTATGGAGTTTATTTTCACTGATTTTTGATGAGTTGAATGTAAAAAACTAGGGAAAAAGGTATATTCACTGGATTTTATTTTCACTGAAACATCACTTCAGCGAAAATAAATTACAAGTGAAAATTAAGTATTTTACAGTATTCTGATATACTGGTGCTATAAAAAAACATAGGCAAGCTACGCTGCTGATCCCCTCTCCCTATTTAATGAACTCACATGTAGTTTTGGTACATGCATTTAATCAATCGCTAGAATCAAATACTTGGACAATTATAATGGCGTAATATTCACTGGAGTCAGTAACTTGATACACACACCACTTGTCAATTTCAGTCTACAATGGAATTAAATCATCCAAGTTTACTACTTTGACAAATGTGCACCTCCTCTCCACATACCCCTATATATAAACACATTAGCAACATACTGTCCAATTGGTATGCCAAGGTGAACACAGCCATAAGTGTATTACTGTTGTGGCACATCCACATCTTTACAGAAGCGGAGTTCCATAAAGGAAATGGATTAATAGACATTCAATAAGACTCAATAATATTTCACAAATATAAAAAATATAGATTTGCATTTTAATGATTTGTTTTGACAATTACGTAATGCTCTTAAAGAAATTGCAGAATATAATATGGATCAAATAAAAATCTTGTAATGAATAGGATACCCCTTCATCAAGATATATCATACAGTATTACTGATAGTAAATTATGGTTACTGATATATTACGGGGTCTTGCTCTTGTCATAATTCCTAAAAACCTAAGATACCACTAAAACCATCCTCTCATCTTGAAAAGTGCTCTTTGTTTTTCGAGATAAAATCATAATCAAACAATGCATCAATGCTGTATTATGATCGGAGTTCAATTGACTGCACGTCCTCTGGTACAGGTCAATGACCATTCAAACTACGGATAAAGGTTAACATAATGTTGGGTTTTGCATACTAGGTATGTTTGTTATAGTGTATTCATTTCATTTATGTAACACACTGGAAGGACCTGTTACATACATTGCATTGGTGTCTTTATAGCTGAATCATTCCCTCAATTGAGGAGAGGGGGGAGGGGTAATGCTGCTTGGTAAATAAAATTAGATAAAAGAAATGAACCCCGAATGAGAAAAAAAGGAATCTGTACCCAGGAACTGATCATCACAGAATCTGTATCCAAGTTTATTTGAGGAAAAGAATAAGACACTCACAAGGAAGGTGAAAAATGGAGAAACTACTAAACTAGAAATAATCATCCCTCCCTTATAGTTATTAGATTTCTTCCCACGTATTGGATTTGTTTGCGTAATACATTATTCGATAGAGCTAAGTATGCATAGTGAGAATAGAAGAGAATTTTTCATGAAACAAGGAAAATCACAGAATACACATACTCTTATTATATTATAGCAAACATTTCCAGCGACGGAAATTTAATGCTTCAGTAACGAACTATGCACTGTCTGTGCATATGTATGTTGCCATAACAACCAACAAATAAGAAAGACATATCTTAAAACTGGAATGACTAATTCCAAACAAAAACATGATCAGTTAACAAACAATGTATTTGTGATTAACGGTATACAAGTATACTAGTCCACCAATTGACAAGAACATGTATTTCTCAAATTATGCAAATTATCAACACACATGGTTGAAACAAGGTAATACATTAGCACCTGTAGAAATGGCAGATGTATGATATACGAGTTTAGTATAAGTAAATTGTCAACTACAGCCTGCGACATTTATTTAAATTTACTGTTAATCAGACACTTCTAGCTACGGTTCACTATTACTTTTCAAAGTGTTCCTCACAACATGCAATCTATGATTCCGTTATCATTTCCGTTCCAGTATAGTCACACAGATATTTTGATTTTACTCTGTATGAAGCTTCCTTGAAATCAATTCAGACATAGGAAAAACTGTACTTATATGGTTTTTATATATTATGCAAAAACTCTCATTAACAAGACAATATACTTGACTGCAGCTCATTAGCAAGCATCACACCGTGAGAAATTTTCTGAGAATTTGCATAGTGTTAATTAAGCTCTATTAGATAACGAGTAGACTCTAGAAATTTAAGCCTTTGAAGCAAGAGAGTGGAAAACATAAGCACCATCGCTGTGATTGAAGTGAAATGATTGGAATCTGACAACATCATAAGTCATTTGGTTTACTCACAAAGAAAATTACAATTGATAAGAGCTCAAGTTACATGGTAACGGTGAGATTAAGAAATGAGAGGGCAAATCATCAGCGCATTTGTAACAACATGCTTGATTCTGAGCAAATATCAGATCTATAAATAGTCTAGTAAATCATAAATCATAATAATAATTAAAGACTAATAAACATCATTTACATATGATAATAATAATTATAATCTCTAGCTGTTTACTATAGAGGGCGCTCTACTAGGATAATGTCCGCAAGAAAGAATTGGAATATATCACGATGGGATGGAACAACTTTTATCTACATTATTTATTTGTCATAAAAATGCTCCGTCGAAAACACAATCAAATACAACAAATTGCAGAAATATTTCGGCAGTTGCAATACTCATCGTTTTCTGAAAAATATATTCTAACCTAATATAGGTAACTAAGTCCCGTCTAGTTAGGAGGTAAACTTTTTGACAAACATAATTTTTGTCTATGAAATTTAGGTGCAATGTTTTGCAAGATTAAATGTTAGCATACAGAAAAAAATTATGGGGATTCATTCTGTGGATGGCAACAAAAGTTAATCTATGCAATCTCTGGATGTAATACCCGGATGAAATACATATACATGAGTGGGTCCTTTAATTTTTTGGTAATTTATCATAATGTATACTTCTATTTCACAGGTTATATATGATCTTGGACGAGGTTTGGATTCAGTGTCATACAATTTTGATTCCACATGTATGGGTATAATGGTAAGGAAGGTGAGTATAATTGGCACATTTCTCCTGAGATGCTCTAGTTGATGCAGAAATGAATAATATCCATAATTATTTTTGTCAAACATCAAAGGGGCAGAAATTCCTATCTTTACAACAGTAGAAATGTACAATGATGCCGTTGGGATATCTAGCAAACGCACTGTTTCCAATCTTCTTCTTGCATACTTTGCAAATTTTCTCATCTGTGATTGTGCACTTACTGCTTTGGTAGTAGATCTTCTGCTCTTTGACCTGTTGAGGGACGAAATATTCAATTTTTCGAGTGAAAATAAGAACAGCATCAGCAAAGGTTTATTTTCATAAAAGAAGTGTCTTTCAGGAGAGCCTTTGTTACACCAGGGATGTGTTTGACCTTTCTTCAATTTTTGTTTCCTCCAATGCATGTGAAGAGAAGATTGTTTGGTAGAAAAAGATTTGGAGCACATGCAAGAGTTTCCCTTATTGAACACACCCTAGGTATCGTTCACATAAAAAAGACCAAATTGCCATTATGATGGGAAAATGTCTCAGCATTTAATTCTAAACATCAATTGCAGAGGTGGCAAATATGCTACTTGAAAAGTTTTTCCTTCACCAGAAAAATATTTCGAAAAAATATTAATCATTCATGATTTATAAAATTACAGAATGAAGTCTGACAATTACTTCGACAATATTGAATCAGTAAAGATTGCATACCTGTAAATGTTCTGAATAAAGAAGGCTTTTCAAAATCTGGTTATTTCTCTTTTTAGCTGATCCATCTTCTAAAACACATTCTAAGAATTTACAAACATCTTTAACCTGCACTGTAGAAGGGATGAGATCCAGGGCCTAAAAGTAGAGAAGAAATCAACACGATTGTCTTATCTCAAATGTACATGTATAAGTACCAAACACAACCCTTCTACTCAATATATTCACCAGGCTGTCTGATTTAGAGTAAAGATGCATGGGTTGAGAACATGTATCAACAATTTATGCTTGTACCTGAATGGTGTGGTCAAAATGTATTTCTAGTAGAGACTATCAAACTTGATCTTATCATAGTGTAATTCTAATACACACCAACTAATTTGGCAGTGTCAATCTTCTCATAGTATATTGATAATACACACTACCTCACCTACTTATCTTTGGAGTTTATATCTTATCAGGGTGTACTGATAATACCGACTTTATACCTTGGCCATATCTATCTTATATTGATGTAATTTTAATACACACTATTTGCCTCACCATTATCATAGTGTATTGTAAATACACCACACACCTTGGCAGTGTTTATCTATACACTTTGAAAGTATATATTTTATTATAGTGTACTGTAAATACACTACATACTTTGGCAGTGTCTATCTTGAGAGTGTATATGTTCTCATAGTGTACTGTAAATACACTACATACTGGCAGTGTCTATC